GGGGGGGGGGGGGGGGGGGGGGGGGGGGGGGGGGGGGGGGGGGGGGGGGGGGGGGGGGGGGGGGGGGGGGGGGGGGGGGGGGGGGGGGGGGCAGGCTCCGCCGACGCACCGCTGGTAGGCCTCGGTGAGGGTGCGCTCGCCGGCCTTCTGGATGTTCATCAGGGTGACCACCTGCACGCAGCTGGCCCGGGTGGTGGACAGCTGCCGCGGCCCGGTCGAGGCATAGTTCGAGTCCAGCAGCCAGAAGTGCCGTAGCAGCGAGGGCACCATCAGGGGCACGGGGTCGGCGGCGGCCACGCCGGGGGCCAGGTGCCCCCCGGCGGCCTGGCCGACGGCCGGCTCCGGCGGCTGCTCAGCGCCCCGGCTGAAGAGAATCCGATGGGACCCGATGCCGGACAGGACGCTCCCGGTGGCGGCCTGTTCCCAATGCAGGGGGACACTGCCACGCACCTGCAGGAAGGCCAGCACATGCAGGCGGTTGCCGGCCGGGGCCGCGGCCGCGGCCGGCTGCGGCTGCGGCTGCGGCTGCCACAGGACCAGGACCTGCTCGGACTCGACGAAGTTCGAGGTGTTGCCCTCGTCGTCGACGCCGCGCGAGAGGAAGCGCGTGCCGGCGCGGCCGTGAGCAATGCGCGCGATCAGTCCAACCAGCGCCGGCCGGGGGAGGTGCTCCGGCAGGGCGGGCTGCGGCGAGTGCGCCAGCGGCGGCGGCGGCCGGACCCCATGTGTCCCGACAAAGCCGCGGATCAGGTACAGCAGGGGCGGCGCCTGGTGGGCCGAGGGGGCCGGCAAGTCGTGCAGCGGGAACAGGTGGATGATGTCGCGGAGCTGTGGGGTCGCGGGCCAAGCGCAAGGAGGGGGGGGGGGAGGGGAGGGGAGGAGGGCGACCGGGGTGCGCGCGTCAGGGCCAGGACGCCGAGAGCAGGAGGGCCGGGATCTGGAGCACGCGGCGCTGCCTCGGGCCGGGGGGCGGGGCAGGCTCACTGGCGTACCATGTACTCGTTCCAGAGGAAGCGCGAGTCCAGGACCACGGGGTTGGCGCCGGCCGGGGCGGCGCGACGGATGCGCTCGCGCCGGGCATACGAAGCCGTCAGATCGCCGCCCTGGCCGGCGAAGTAGAAGCTCCCGCCGGAGGCGGTGAACAGACGCAGCACATCGGCCAGCGGGTGTGCCTGGGCGTGGAGATCCTCGGAGCCGGGGGCGGTGCCGGGAGCGCCGGGGGCCGGTGGGCCTGCCGACGAGCCGGGGGTCCCGCCGGCGGCGGCGGCGGCGGCCGCCGCCAGCGCTCGCGCCCGCTGATGCGACATCTCCAAGTGCGAGTCGTATGTGCTGCTGCGCAGGGAGATGAAGGCCACGGCCGTGATGCGGAAGGCTCGGAGGTCGGCCCGGCCGGGCGGGCCGAACCCCAGGGGGAAGTTGGCGGCCGGCGCGGCGCCGGTCACCACGCCGAGCAGGGGCTCGCCATCTGGGTCGGGCCGTGCGCCGAGGCGCGAGAGGCCGAGAGGCGGGGATGTCAGTGGCGGAGTGGCCCGGCGAGGAGACTGTGCGCTGGGCGAGATGCCGGGGCGGAGGGGCGGGGGGGGGGGGGGGGGGGGGGGGGGGGGGGGGGGGGGGGGGGGGGCGGACCAGTGGGCGAGGGCAGCACGCCGATGACGCCCCAGATGGGGGTGCTGTCGGGCGTGAGGCCAGGCGTGTGCGTCGGCGTCAGGGAGAAGCTCTCGCGTGCGGCGACGCCCCCGGCGAAGACCAAGCTCTCGACCGAGATGGGCTGCTGCTGCTGCTGCTGCTGCTGCTGGGCCGAGGGATCGGCGGCCTGGATGTTGGGCACGATGCGCACCCGGCGGGCGCCGTTGGTGGACCGGGAGATGTGCAGGCGGAAGGGCAGGACCGGCTCCTTGGTGACCGGGCGCGCGAGCAGGGGCCCGGCGGTGCCGGGGCCAGGCGGTGCGCGCATGGGCGTGCTGCCGCTTGGGGCCGGTGGCGGCAGGGGCCGCCGCATGGCTCCCGGGCCCGGGGCCGAGCCGGCCGGCAGGATGCCGGAGCCCGGGCGCGGGGCCACCGGCGGCGGCGGCGCGGCCGCGAGGGTGGTCCCGCCGGCCGCGAGGAGGGCGGAGTTCGGCCGCGGCGGGGCGGTCGGGCGTGGGGCGCCGAGGCTGCCGCTGCTGCTGCTGCTGCTGCTGCCGCCGCTGGAGGATCCGCTGCTGGACGGACGCGGGGCCAGGATCACCGGCGGCGGGGCGGCCGGGCGCGAGGGCTGGCTGTAGGCCGATGGCGGGGGCGGCGCCGGCCGGCGAGGGACGGTGGGCGGTGCGCCGCCGGCCGGCGCTGCCACAGCGTTGCCCGGCGGCTGCGGTGGGGCCGGTGCGGCCGGTCGGCCTGGCGGTGGGGGCGGCATCCGGCCTGGGCCCGGGCCCGCCTGGTTGGGCATCGGCGGCGGCGGCGGCCACTGTGACATGGCGGCGAGGGGCGGCGGGCGCAGGGGGGCGGCGAGGGAGCGAGGCGCGAGGCGGCAAGTGCGGGGGAGGGGAAGAGGGGACAGGGAGGAGGCGCATGCCGAGGCTGACGCGAGGTGCCCCGCACGTCTTTCCTGTGCGCATCGGTGGCCGACAAGGAGGCGACGTGCGCACTTGCGGCGGGGCGCGGCAGGAGCCCGGAGGGCAGGTCGCTCCTTCGCGTGTCGCCGCCGCCGCCGCCGCCGCCGAGGCCCGCTCACCCACCCGGCGGGGCACGCGTCAAGAAACCGGCAGTTACCCCCGGGCGGCGCATAGTCCCTCCTCCGCCCGCCCCCGGGGGACCGGG